AACCCTGACAGTTGGGTTGTCACAGACAACATACCAACTGTACCAAATGGGTCTCGGTACCGAAGAGATTCATATCAGACTCAACTTAGCGCCGCTCGCTCACATATTCCGTGGCGGAACTCGACTGAGTTCGCTATATAACCATAGGACTGTGCCCCCGGGAACCACGATTACTCTCACCAAGCCGGGCCGACTGGAGCATTAGAAGCCGGATCAAGCAATGATAAACACATATAGTAAGTAGGAGGATTTGATAATATATATATATATATATATATATATATATATATATATGAGGTGTGAGGTGGAGAGTAATTTAATATAGAAAGTGTACAAATCCTGTTATACGTTTTCGTCTTCGTCAGGCAAAAAGTATTTTTTATCGAGGAAATATAAGTGAAGAGAATGAAATAAAGCAAACAGCGATGTATTGTAATTATTTACATTGTTCGGACTGTTGTCGTCATCTTTGTTGCCATATTCACGACGTTTCGGCCATCGTAACCTCCGGCCTTCTTCAGGTGATTGAAATTTCGAACTGAACCCTTTATTTTGTGAATATGGCAACAAAGTTGAGGACAACAATTCGAACAATGTTAATAGGGTTAACAAGCGGCGTTTATATATTTTTTTTCAATCAATTCGCCCCAAGTAATATGATAATGCTACTAAGACGCAAGTGGGGGGGACTACTGGAAGTGAAAGAGAAGGAACATACTTTAGAAATAATCGAAAGCATTCTTTAAACAGGAAACAAGGGATAAGGCTCAAAGATGGATCGATTTGTGTGTTCATACCCTAAAAGTCTCACTACAACTTCTAACTATTATCAAATCTTTAGTGTACCTTCCTTCATTTACTTTGTCGTGATAGAGGCGTCACCAAGCTTTGTGACCCGTGGTTATTGACTCAAAACGCGGGATTCCGTCGACTATTATTCTCTCTCTCTCGTCTTCTCCCTTCACTTTTCCCCTTCCCATTTTTCTGTGACAAGTTACTTTATTCTTATTTGAAATGAATTGCTCTGATGCACAAAACCCATGGTGAGCGCAGCAGGTTACCTTTGTGGGAAAGGCCCATATATGGATCAAATCTGAATATTATCGAATGGGACTGGCATGAAGAAGTATTTCTGTTCAGATCAAAAATATATATAAAACCACGACACGCAAGTGATAGTCGTTGAATAAGCAAGCCATAGAGAGTCTCCATCATCACATCGGCACATATCTTGTCGCGGAAGAGATAGTTATTACCACATATCTTACGTGGATGCAAACTCTTTCCCACAGAGTAAGATTATCGCTACTCTAACTCTATATCCACGGCAAATGTTCAGATGAGCTCCATTCTTTTAATTCCATCGGTTCATACCTTTATAGCTTGAACACGTCATGACACTTCCACGGTGTCGAATGACCCTTATTTCTCCTGTAAACCAAATGTAAGAAAGAAGATCCAGTCTGCTTTTTTTCCATGAGCTGCTGATTTTTTTTTAAACAGACTCTTTTGAGTGTTCTCCCTTGAACTCTTTAATCTTTACCACGTCAAGAGGTAATTGTTATATATCAACCCTATCCTCTTAATAGTCATTTCCTACCACCTTTTTTTTACCTTATAGCATTTCGACTGGAACTCTCTCTTTTGAGTAACATCCGACCCTCGAATTAAGTGAAATTTATATATAAAAAAAATCGATAGTGTGTATCCCTCTCTACGCATATAACAGTATCTCAAAAAATCAAGTAACTATCATTTATATCTATATACAATATATTTTGGTGGGTAATTGTATACAGAAAGTGCAAAGATCCTGTAATCCTTTTTCGCCCTCGTCAGAATAAAAGTATATTTTTTATCGATGAAATTTAGATGAAGAGAACGAAATAGACCAAACGGCGAGGTATTGTAATTATTTACACTATTTACATTGTTTGGACTGTTGTCCTTATCTTTGTTGTCATATTCCCGACGTTTCGACTGTCGTAAGCTACAACCTACTTCAGGTGATTGGAATTTCGAACTGAACCCTTTATTTCCTGAATGTGGCTAAAAAGACGAGGTCAACAGTCCGAACAATATAAGTAGTGTAAGCAAGCAGCGGTTACTTATTTTTTGTCAATCAGTTCACTCCAAGCAAGGCGATAATGCTACTAAAACGCAAGGTGGGCTACTGGAATTGAAAGAGAGAAAAACTACTTTAGAAAGAATCTAAAACCCATTTTAAACAGGAAACAAGGGATAAGGCTTAAATTAAAGATGGTTTCAATTTGTCCGTTCATACCCTAGAAGTCTCACTACAATCTCTAACTTCTACCAATCACAATAGAAGCATCTGCCTGTTACTCTTCTTTTTTAAGACTTTCTCATAACAATTGACCTGCGTCTATTGACACGTCTAGTGCCCCCAAAATGTTTTAATATCCCTTTTTAACGTCCCCAGTAAGGTTTAACCTAAAACAATCGTCCACTTGAACGTTCCATTTGGCTTTATTTACATTTATACATCACTATTTAACTATCTCTTCCTTAAACATATGTTCAAGTAAAAGTAAGTTTGTACTTGTTGTTTTCTCAACATATTACAAAATAAAACAATTTATTTGCAAATGTAAGATTTCAAGCATCCTTTACTTACACAGCCATCTATCTGGATTTGTGCATATAAATTATCCTTAGAAATCAGCGAACAAACACTGAAAATAGAGTTGTATACATCTTCGAAGACATGATATATAGAATGATGGTGAGATACAAAGAGACGCCTTGTATAGCGACAAGTGCATACACACGTACGTAACACTGGCATGGGTTCACTGTTTGTAATAGTGCTGGGTACCGGTGAATATTTTGAAGACATTCTGCAAAATTCTCACCCACATAATTTTTCATTGATGGTGACAAGTGATAGGTGCTTGGCATTTTCGTGTTCAACATTTTTGTGAACAAATCGTGATGTACAATTTTTGTAGAAGAATTTGCTTCCTCTTTGATTTTTGTACGTTTCGAGATGAGTTACTGTATTGTCAAACGAACATCTAGACATCTGTGCAAAGACACAGTATACGATGTCAGAGTCTATTATTCTATGTTTTCAATATAAAATCTTTATTGACAAAATTATATTGTTAGTATTTTCAGGATATATATATTTAATAAATATACCAGGGGAAAAAAAAATTGGTAAAGAGAGAACAAGAAAGAATGTTTATAAAATATCAGGAAAAATAATTTTTAGGGTGATAAAAAAAAAATCTGGAATAAGCAATAAAAATGAAATATCCAGCAAAAAAAAGAAACGTTGTTAATGTAAGTCGATAAAAGATGTTAAAATTTTAGAATAATTCTGGCTTTCATGTCTGTTTAAAAACTACCACATTAAAAGAAAAATTCACAAAGAGAATTTTGCAATTTTTGCGAAGAAGTACATTAATGTCTCGACAGTAATATTTAATGATATATTTAATGATCTCTATATACATAGAATAATCCTAATGCTTCACAGCTAGAGTTTTGGCCTTTGATAGAAATTGTCAACCCAAATGATTTCAAAGACAACACATAGGAAGTAATGTTTAGTCCTAGTATTGCATTAAAATTATAGGTCCCTTCAAAGTTGGTTGTTTCAAAGATCAATGAAGAGAAAACTTGCAAGTTCCTGGACAGGATATTTTTGGATGGTATAATAGAAAACAATCTTCTTCGTTATTTTTTTTGCGTTAATGATATGGAAAGGAAAAGGGTCACAGCTCAGAAGCTTTATGCTAAAGAGCATATTCATGCAAGACACTACACCTTCACATTCTGCAAAGCTGACTATTGCCAACCTTGACAAAAGGCTTTCAAAGATAGCGTATGAATGATAGAATATGAAATGATTATACTAAAAATAAGCAGACCTAATATTTATAATTAATTTAATGAGACATGCCTAAAAGAGAATTTGCTGCCTAAACACACACACACACATATATATATATATATATATATATATATATATATATATATATATATATATATATAAGTGTATATAAATATAAATAAATATATATATGTATAATTATTTATATATTATATGCGCGTTACTTATTAGAAAGCGCTCAATATCAGAGATAGAGCTAACATATTTGGTTGGATAGATGTGAGTTTGTGACCCTGGGTTTCACGCTGGAGCGATCGTCTGACGCTATATATATATATATATATATAAAGTAACGTTTTCTTTTATTTATTTGATATGTAAAATTGTTAACTCAAACTTTTAGATTCAAAGTGTGATTATATAGCGTTTAGGAAAGAGAATGATACTAAAGTAAATTTTCATGGATTCCTATTTGCATAGAAGTTACCATAGTCTGACAATAATTTTGATTTATTGATAGCAGTAAGACTGAAGTTTATGTCGATGGCTAAATGTTGACTTAAGTTCGGTTACTTCTACATCACCCTGTATACGCTTACCTACTTTACAACAAAAAGATTTTCTCGCAATTTTTTTTGTTGTTGTTTTAGTGGGGATATGCACCCCTGTAAATAGTGGCTTCTCCACAGTTTGGAATTCAGTTTCCTTCTCTAGATAGCTTAGTCTACTCTGCTGTTTAACCCTTAGCTGGCGGGGAAAAGACATTCATATTTTTTTTTCCACAACGGCTTTTCTGAAAACGCAACGTAAATAGAATTAAATACGTAAAATAAACAATCATTGATTTTCTATCAAGGGCATTTTAAAAAAAATAAAAAATAAAAAAATAAAAGTGCTTGCCGTTTTAAATTCTACATGGAATTTTCTGTAATTTGGTTGCTGGAAAATTAGGCTGCATGCACAAGTTCTATTATAGGATTTCATTCCTCAACTTTCTTGAAACCCTAACCGACGCTTTTACATTCGTTTTTCCGTGGTGAGACCAAGCTCGGGATTAGGGAGAGTTAAGTAGGATTTGCCACTTTTCTTGGCAAATTCCGGTCCCAATTAGAAGCGCGTTTCATTGGTGATCTTAAAGCGAGCACCAACGGCTCACATCAGTATTTGATCTTCTCTTCTTACTCACTGATGGTCTGAGCAGGTGCATGCAGCACAGGACGCATAGGGAGACGGTGAAAGAGTAAGAAAACACTACAAACACTTGTAGAGGGATATACACACATACATAGTCATATGTGCTCATGGAAATACAAAGGTCTTTTCTTCTTTTTTTTTTTTCAGCATAAACACATGCACTATACACATTTACGTGTAACGAGTAGCAAATAACACGGACGTTTTCTTTTTATGTATGCCAGTATGCGAGATGAAGTCAATATGTTTGTAATGTATGTATTATATTCATAGATATTGTAGAATACCTAGGAAAGGAATTTTCATACGAGCATCTTTTATTAAATGACAGACCAGAATTTCTCTTTTTCTTTTCATGTGCAGACAGCTCTCCGAAGTTTCTGGCTAAGATTGTAGAGTTCTCCTAGACAGCAAGCACTTTTTATTAAATTCGACCGACGCAACCACGAGTCACACAAATGTGAAAACACCAAGGATCACGCAAGTCTTATATTAAACTTATGCCTGATATTACAAACAAATCATTTGTAATTTAAAAGACATTCAATTGTGAGTTTAACTTACGAATCGTTTTTTTTTATAATTAAAACAAAAGCTGGGTGATATTATTATTATTTTTATCATTATTATTATTATTATTATTATTATTAATGAGCTTATCAATAGGACCTGCCACTTCCTTATCCTCACCTGTGATCATCATCATTATCATTATCCTCATCATCAATCCCATAACCGGATCTGTTGGTCGGTTTGCTGTACCAAACCCCATATCTAGATTGAAAGACGAAGAGGTATTCATTCATGTCTAGGTCAACCCACAACCGATGTCCTTCAACTTTGAAGGCTCGCTTTGTTCCAGCATGGACATCAGTCTAGATAGCCCACTGTTTAACTATGCTGTGTTCATCACCAGAAAATTCTGGTGGTAGAACCGGTGTAGTTGCCGATGATCGAACCATCCGGCAGGTAGCACTCGTAGAGTGACCCGACATATTCAGTTGCTACACTACTTAAATACCATTATATATTTGTTCAAAGAAATACAAAACCCTGGTTGTCTTCCACATTTTTATTGGTATAGTCTTGTAAACCATTAACTCCGTACCAAGGCCTCATTAGTTGAACCAATAGCCTCATCATGGATGCGTCTAAGTTAAACTAGCCTCCCACTTCTAAATTAAGTCTTCTCGTTGGCAGCTAAAAACAAAAATAGCCAAATCAGCCCTGATATTTAACCCGTAGCTGGTGGGAGATTTGAACGTAACGAAATCGGCCAGCATTCGAACTCTGTTCTCCAAACCCGCTTTCTGATTCACTAATTTTCACACAACCAGCATTTATATAACAGCAAATAAAAATATAAAATATGTCATACAATGTTAAGCAGCCTTGAACGATTTTCAGAGGTCATCTCATCACTTAGAAATTTTGGATTTTAAACAGTATTTTATTAGCCAACGTTTACGCGCATGCGCGGTGTATATGCTTGTTTAGCGCAAAGGCACAAGCATATCGCTGCAAATACGCGCGCACTAGTTAACATTAAAAATATCTCTTTTTAAACGCTGTTTTATTTGAATAGTTTACATATAATGCTGCAATTCTAGCCTTTAAAGAATTTTGAAGAAGTTTTGTCTCTCCGATTTTTGTCTAATTCTGTTGCTCCGAAGACAGCAATTAATAGACAAAGTTGGTCATAATTATTATACGCTGTTTCATTCCAGCCGGTATCATCAACATGATTGTTCCAATAAGAGTTTCCACTGTCAGCTTTTTCTACGGGATAACTATCCAGTAGGCATCAGTAGGCAAATTCTATATAATTTCTATGGCCATCGTGTGTCGAATTTCAGAGTCTGTCATGGAAATTCACAGAAACCTGGTTCCGTAGTACGAGCAGAAATGATATGAAAAGGAGAAAACAGAGCATCACCATTGATAGGATTGAATAAAAGATCTATTCCGTAGTTATGAGGACGTTATCGAATAAAACAGGTATCTGAAGAAGGTTAGGCGACTGAAATGTTGTTACCATAAAACCTAATCTAAAGACAATTTCTTTTCTCTGCTGTTATCATTTAGAACAGGGTCGGCAACATAGGGAACACGCGCCACACAAAACAATTTCCAATGGCACGGAGCCGCAAATGACATCACGAAGTCCGAACCAATAACTACTACAACGCAAAGAAGATATTTAGCTGTTTCAATTTTAATATATACCAAAGTATATATACTAAATATTAAAATATATCGTAGAAAAGGTATATTGATCTTGACTTGCATAAAAATACCTATGCTGTTGGCACACTGAATGATTTTAAAACCATAAGTCGGTATATAGCAAAAGGTTGCCGATCCCTGGCTCAGACCATCGTAGGGGTTATGCAGAATGTGCTGACAGGGAATATATTATTCCACTGTTTTATTTCAAACTCTGTGCATCTGAGTCCGAACTAATAACTACTACAACGCAAAGAAAATATTTAGCTGTTTCAATTTTAATATATACAAATATATATATATATATATTATATATTACTATATAAAATATATTATATAACAGGTATATTGACCTTGACTTGTATAAAAATACGTATGCAGTCGGCACATCGTTAGCAAAAGTTTACCGACCCTTGCTTTAGGATGTGTAGGATCATTTTTCTTATGTTCTGTTTTTTTTCTTGCTCAATGTAACTTTTGACTTTTTACCATCTTTCTTTCTTTTTCAATGGGTGGGAAAACAAACTTGTTAAATAGTTTACTTACTGTTTCCCCCTACTTCTCTGGCCATAAGTATCTCATATTTTCCAGGCTTTCTTTCCTCAGTTATGTTACAGAAATTTCAACTGCCTTTTTTTTTTTTTTTGTAAATACGTTTTCTTGTAAAGATATACTCAAAGTTTTGAATAATTCTTTATCTAAAAACACAAAGCTACTTTTGTAATCATGCACATACAGGTTTGCTGTATTTAATATTCGGGAGCAAATATCCCATGCTAATTTTTCCCCTGCAGATTGACGTCATAGCTGTGTCACATCACATATTTTTGTGGCTCAAATCTTCAACATTTTTCGTCCAATCTACTCCACTAATAAGTTTAATTAAGGTTATCGACTATTATTCGAACAAGAAGATAAGACGTGAATGCTTTTTTTTTTTTTTTTTCAAATTTGAACTTGTCCGTTTCCGCCGGCTTATGTTCTTTTGATAAGTTTTGTCGACGATCTGTTTAAGTCGAGTCTCAAAGAAAAAATAAAGCAAGGATTGTTTGTAATTGAATAGAAAATCCAGTAGTGTTCAGTTGCACAGAATATTGTCTTTCTCCTTCCATATTCATATTCGCTTATGAATTGGTTAGAAATTCCAATTATGCATATGTTTATTTATTTGTGTTCTGTGAATTCGACAATTCTAAAATTAAACGAGACCAAACAGCATGTCTTTACCTAAGCTATTTCTTCTTTAGTGGACAGAACAGTCAATCCTGTCTACTGCTCACATATGTTATATATTCATATTTAAGATATAAACACATTGCGCCGATTATTTAATTATTTTTCATTACAAGTGATAATTGCATTTGTTTCTCCAGTGTTTTTAATCTACTGGTTCATATGTAAGGATCAATGCTTATATCTCAGTCAAAGTCATGTTACTATAATGATGATCAACGTGCTTTTTTGACCTGCGCCTATCGGGGACACTTTTACAAAGTAGGAGGGCCAGGTACCTTAGTTCCTAGGAAAAGACAGCCAGACAAACTGCACATATGATTTGATTATAGTGGCGACAGTTCCAACCACACTTTTTGAAGAGCCGAATACAGAGACCTGGTGCACCGTGTGCTACAAGTTCCCCAAACGACCATCCGCAGGTTTTAAATTCAGTTGTCATTCTCCTTCTTAGACCATGCAAGGCTATAGAACCCAGTCTGTCCTACTATTTACCCGTAGTTGATTGATGTAAATGGATTCGACTGGAATTCGAATTCGGCTCTCCGATTCCTTAATCCAAGCCGCTATCCATTACGCCACCGTGCTTCTAGCAATGATAATATACAAGTAGTTATTTACTATTAAGATTTTAAGATACCAACTAGAAAATAACTAAAATGCAATATATTACATATATTTTGTTTTGAAGCCCATCTATACGTATTGTAATATACAGGAAAGGTTTTGCTTTAAGTAAAAACGAAGTGTATTACTACCGAAATTTGTCAAAATACAACTATAATGACTACCTCATACAATATGGCCGTATATGGTTTGAAATGACTTTCAGTTATGTTTTATTTCTTTAACGACCGACATTTAACGACACATAAAGACTGGTAATTTTACACCATAAAATAGTTATTTACACTGCTTGTGTGTGGTGCGTCGATGTGTTCGTAAATACATAGGTGTGTATTTGGAAATTTCAAAATCCCTAAAACAATATATAAAGAAAACTAATTTCAATATGTTAAAAATGTTCTCTTTAATGTCTGTTCTTTCTTTTTAGCCTAATTGTCTGTTATTTTTCTTCATATTCCAACTTCGATGTCGAAGCTACTCCCATAAATTTATAAATATCCATTTTTCTCAATCTATCCCGTTAGTATCACACAAAGACAAGCTCATGTCAATTGTTGACGATGCCGAGATTTTTCGCGCTAAAACGCAATCAAACCGAACTCAAACTGACATTCTCTTCAGATTTATCAAGAAAACATGGTTCAATATTCTGGCTTTTTTATTTTATGCGTGTGAGTTTTTCCTGTTTTTATAGGCACCAAACTTTTAATAACTCGCTTCTCTGCGTTAAAAGGCCTTCATTTCTTCTCTTTTTTTTTTTAAAAAAAAGAATCTTTCATTTATTTTTAATCTTTTATTTCTATTTTTAAATCTTTCATTTCATTTAAATCTTTCATTTCTTTTTTTTAAATCTTTCATTTCTTTTTTAAATTTTTCATTTTTTATTTTTTTAAATCTTTCATTTCTTTTTAAAATATTCATTTCTTTTTTTAATCTTCCTTTTTTATAAGGTTACCTTTTTGAAATATTTCTTTTCTTTTTAAATTTTTCTTTCTTTCTTTTTAAATTTTTCTTTTCTTTCTTTTTAATTTTTTCTATTCCCTTTTTAAATCTTTCATTTCTTTTTTTTAAATCTTTCATTTCTTTTTTAAATCTTTTCTTTCTTTTTAAAATCTTTCCTTTCTTTTTATAAATGTTACCTTTCTTTTTTTAATCGTTCATTTCTTTTATATCTTTCATTTCTTTTTTCTTTCATTTCTTTTTAAAATATTCATTTCTTTTTTAATCTTCCTTTTTTATAAGGTTACCTTTTTGAAATATTTCTTTTTAAATTTTTCTTTTCTTTCTTTTAAAATTTTTCTTTTCTTTCTTTTTAATTTTTTCTATTCCCTTTTTAAATCTTTCATTTCTCTTTTTAAATCTTTCATTTCTTTTTTTAAATCTTTCATTTCTTTTTTTTTAAATCTTTCATTTCTTTTTTTTTTAAATCTTTCATTTCTTTTTTTTTAAATCTTTTCTTTCTTTTTAAAATCTTTTCTTTCTTTTTTTAATCGTTCATTTCTTTTATATCTTTCATTTCTTTTTTCTTTCATTTCTTTTTTAAATACTTTTCTTAGTTAAGTTATTTTCTTCATTACTCCTCATTTAAACTCTTGATTTCCTTTCTTTAAGAACCATTACTTGTTTTTTATTCGAAATTTTGAATAGATATTTTTTATTAATTATTTTTTTTGTAAAGTTTTAAACGCTCTGTTTTTTTCCGTAGCATTTTCATTTCTGCCATCACGATAATTCTGACGCTGTAATATTCTTATTTTCAAGATGCAGAGTCCATATAATCATTCCTTCCAATTATTGCTTCGTTATTTGTTTTTCATATAATGTTTTATTTTAATCAAAATTACTGGTGTAACCTAGGGATGGTTACTGAACGGAATAATCAAACGAAGATTGGTAATGAACGATAATACTTAGGACAAGAACAATACATATATGATTCGCTAGCGGCGCGTAGAAGAAGTAGTCAACTGCTAGAAATGAGTCAAGTGAATTCCACAATACATCTCCAACTGCAGGATATCGCCCCACGCGTCAGAAGTGGCACAAGTGGCATATGTAGGGTATCCGAGCCGACAGGTTCGGCCAAAAATTCCCCATAGACGCCGTATAAAACGGGATAGGGTAGCTGTTTCTTGAGACGAGACTCTGCCCTACAACAGAACCTCGTCTGGGGATCCTCTCTGGGCGAAGGCAGAGAGTTTGACCAGAAAAGCTGGAGACGAATCTGCAACTGCAGGATATCTACCAACCACCCCACGCGGTCAGATGTGTTACAAGGCCGAAGTTAATTTTGGGTATCAGACCCCATAGGCTCGGCGAAAATTTCCCCGTAGACCCCATATAAAACGGGGTCGGGTAGCTGTTTCCCGAGACGCGACTGTCATTCGACATAGCCTCGTCTCGGGATCATCTCTGCCCGGAGGCAGAGAGTTTGAGCAGCACAGCTGGAGACGAATCTGTAACTGCAGACCAACATACAGTATTTACTATTGTATTTATGTGAATGGGGACATACTCATTATCGTCCGTAGGTATGCTACAACAATTATTATTACAATGACTGTATACAACGGACATTTACTTTTAAATGGGATTTTCACCGTCAAATTAATGATTCAAAGGATATATGCATATTTTCATGAGTATCCTACAATTTGAAACCACCTTTGACCTGTCTTTTATCTGTACTGTTTTATGCACAGTACGTGCAACGCTAAATTTCAAAACGAGTGCTAAGATTCCTCTTCGAAATAATCGTCAACAATAGCGCTATTAGTTTAAAATGTTAATGAATTTTATCAGCATCGATAATATCAGCATTAATTTTCCTCTCTCTCTCTCTCTTTGTCTCTAAATGTTTCTGTTTAAGTTGTTAAGCAATATTTAAATAATTCCCTGTTTCACCTTTAACAGAGGCAATATAAATCAAGATAAATTATGTACAGCGAAATCAGGTTTTAGTCAATGTGTGTAGCAGGTGCATAACTTAATACGATACTAATACCATTCATGGTGGTTTAATACTGTTCTTACTAAATGTAATAGTGATACAATAATCGTTATCATTATACTATCATTTAATTTTTTTTTCCTGAGGGATAATTCTTAAGCGTTGCATCACTGAAAAACCAAATCGAACTGGTCACTCGAAGAAGATTTTGATGTTAAAAAATGAGAAAAGCATGTTAACAAAGATTTTATAATATATTAGTAGGTTTCAAGATTTTTATTCGTTTCATCCGTCAAAGTTTGGAATTAATTTAATTTTAAACGCAAATTCCAGTGAAAACTTGTAACGAACATCAATTCCAAATTCATTGTATGGGAAAATAAGAAGTGTAATGAATTCTTTTCTCCT